TCTTCAAGCCTTTAAAACCCCAGATGCTATATCTTTTGATAGCTGGGGACCATCAGCTTTCTTTACCACATTTGATTATGCACCCACTTTTTCTTCAGTGATCGTGTTGGGAAGGTGAGTGCCGGATTATTAGAACAGTGTTCTTGTGTTGAGGGAGTGCCAGATTATTAGAGTGCTGGATAATTAGAGTGTCAGATTATTAGAACAGAGTGCCGATTATTAGAACAGTGTTCTTGTGTTGAGGGAGTACTTGAGTAGAGGCCCAATGTTCCTCTAGCAGGTTAATTTTTAAGTTGCTAATTTTATATGGTATGCCAATGATATTATAAATATCCAAATGGCCCTTGGTAGAAAAAAAGGTTCCATTGCCCCAATTTAAGCAAAGAACTGAAGAATGTGAAGGGGTGGAGTGAAGTGATAATCTGGAGAAAGGGCCTTTTAGATAGAGCAGGGTTTTTCTGTCTCAGAGCTATTGACATTTGGGCCCACAATATTCTTTATTTTTAGGGGGGGTTGTTCTGTAGAGTGCCGCTGGTGGCCTACGGGTCACTGTTGGGTTGCCAAGTGCAATGTCAGCAGTTGGAAACCACCAGCAGTAACTTGAAAGAAAGGAAGGACTTTTTATTCCCGTGAAGAGTTTCAGTCTCGGAAACGCACGTGGGCAGCTCTACCCTGTTCTGCAAAGTCACTTTGAATTGGTATTGACTTGATGGCAGGGGGTTTGGTTTTGCTTTTATTTTTAGTCTAATTTGTTCATTGATTTGGCTGAGTAGTGGTGGTGGTTGGGGTTCTGAGAGAAAAGAGGAAGACTGGTTAGTACATAAAGGAAAAACTGGAAGTGGACAAGAGAATTGTTTGCAGAAGTGTAAGTCTAAATGGAAATAGAAGACAGTATAGTAATTGAGTCAGTTTGAAAGAGCAGAGGGGCTGTGTGGGGACCGCAGAGAAAGTTGAAGGCCAGCTTGTGTGCGGGGAGTTAATGCAGCACTAGATTCAGAGCTCCAAGCCGTAGGCAATGGGGGTGGGGGTGGGAGGAAGGCTTGGAAACAAACAATTATGAAGAAAATTCTGCAGCAGTGTGCAAAACAGGTCATAGGAGTCAAGTATTAAAGAGTTTCTTGAAATGCAAGGGGGCTTCAGAACGTTCATGGAAAAACGGAGTAAAAAAATAATGATATTTTCGCATAAAGAGCCCTGGTGCTGCAGTGATTACGTGCAGGGCTGCTAACCTCAAGTTCGTTCAGGAGAAAGTGAAGAGTTACAGTCTTGGAAACCTTCAAAGACAGTTGTAACCAGTCCTATAGGGTCACGATGAGTCAGCACCAACTCCATGGCAGTGGTTTTGACTGGTATTTTTCCTTTTTTTTAATCATTTGATTGTGGGCTGATACAACTCTTATCACCATCCATCCATCCATTGTGTCAAGCACATTTGTACATTTGTTGCCATCATCATTCTCAAAACATTTGCCTTCTGCTTGAGCCCTTGGTTTGACTGGTATCTTTCATGAACTTTTTGTAGCCCCTTAGTATTGTAGGTGAGAGGTAACAAGAGCCTGGCTTTAGGGATACCCGTGGGAAGCTAGAGGAACACCATAGGGACAGAATGAAGAAAGGAAAGTTAGGTCCTTCCCTAAGTCTTGGGCCCTTGCACCTCTCTCCTTCAGGTCAATGTTTGAGGATAAGGGTAGACAAATGTGATGGGCGATTGAACTCATTCAGAGGCTTCCTGGATGAACGCTTCAAAGGACATCTCAGAGCAATGACCTGGGTGGGTCTCCTGCACTCGTTGA